GAAGGTTTGTGGGTTGATGGTGTTTGACAGGCAGGTAGGAGGCTCAGTTATCTGTGAGTGTAGCTGTGCTGTAAGTAAACAGTCTGAACTCAGATCAGTTTTCTCTGACAGAGATGAAAGTTTAGTTTGAATCACCAACTCTGTGAGAGGACACCAGTTTAAACCTCCAGACTAACATGTTGCACATGAAGAAACAAGTTATGTTTCTGCTTCTTAACAGTCACATGGATAAGTCAGAGTTTACAATGAACCTGGGGACAAATCCTAGTTGGCTCACATTAGTTATTTGTTGAGAGCATAAATAGAGAGATGTTGAGCTTTTCAGATGATGATCAGTAAGTGTGTGCTCGTAAATCAGCCCTTAAACCTGTCACACACTGCTGGAGGCATGACACACACATTGTTTTATATAACCTGTCACCTTGAGTCTAGTTTCTGAGACATGAATAAGATTTACAAAAAAAAGAAAGAAAAATACTGACTAAAATGTCATGACTTTTCGTTGACTAAAACTATGAAGGAAAAAAAGACTAAAATGTGACAAACTAATAAACATTTTAATCTCGACTAAGACTAAATCTAAAATAGCTGTCAAAACGTAATTAGTTTGTATGTAATTAAACCTGAATTTCAAAGCTCATATTCAGCTCAAACTACAGAGTGTACTTTTGCATTTTTGTATATTCGAAGCAAATTTATGTCTCCTGGGAGAGTGAAGGCGTGACTCATCCTGCTCCCTCTGATTGGCTAGTACTTGTTGCCTTCCTTCCTTGGGTTGGTTAGATTTAGGCAAGATTAGTGAGACTGGTTAGCAACAGGATGTCAGAGTGAGTCAATCTGAGGCTGAGCGGCAGGTCATGTCTTTGCTATTCTAGGAATCTGAATTTAAAAAACAAATCCTCACTTCTATTTCCAAACCTCACCAACACAATCAGAACATTTCTAACATTAATAAACATAGTTTCAAAGTCAATCTGAAAGTTTATAAAAATAAAATGCACAAACACACCGACAGACAAACTGCATCACAGGTGAATGAATTAAAAAACTAGAAGACTGAAATGAAACCTTCATGTTGGTCCAGTTTCAAACACGTCTAAAGGTTTGTTTCTGAGAGGAGGTGACGGCTGTAACTACTAAAAGGTGGTGAAAACGGCATTAAAATGACCAAACTGCGTCTGTGGTGGACGAACGAGGAGACTCACCTGGACAGCTGCTGCTCAGAGACCAGATCAGACCGGATCAGACCTGCTGACTGAGCGTCTGGGTCCGAGCTGCCTCCTTTTGTTCCCCCTCTGCTATCGACCCTCTGACAGATTCCCTCTGATTTTATTGCTCTGGTTATTTATTGAGTCAACACGGCGAGTTAGGAACCAGATTTCCAGTTTGTTTGCTTCCTGAAATCTTAATGAAATTATTGGATGTGACTTCCTTAATGAGCTCTAATCACCTGTGAGAGCTGCCTGCTGTTTGTTCACATCAAATCATCCTCACATCGATGCAGAGTATCGATCCACACACACGTCTCCATCTCTTTATTGCTGCCATCTTCTGTTTACTCTGCTCACGAGAAAATAATCCCTGACATAATTCAATCACGTCAAACATGAGTCACAGGAGACACTTCTCAATAACCTGTAGTTTTACTTTTGATACTTTAAGTATATTTTACTGAAAATAGTGTTGTGCCTGTAGTTAAGTAGGATTTTAAGTGCAGGACTTTTAATCTTAGTGGAGTATTTTTACAGTGTTGTGTTGGTACTTTTACTTACCTAAAGGATCTGAGTACTTCTTCCACTACGGTTAAGATCATTTATAAAAACAATAAGATCAAATGCTCTCTGACTCGAGCCCGAAAATACAAATAGTCACCTGTACTTCTGATGACCTGGGTGAACACACATGAAGGCGGTGCCCATGTCTCACGGTCTTGTGCAAGTGCTAACACATGAGCGCGGTGCACAGAGAGGCAGTCAGAGCTACAGGCTACAATGAGGCTAAAAACAGAGTTCAAATGACGTTTTTCCAAACAACTTTTTATGTCGGGGCTTCAGGACACTTGGATCACTACGGACGAGCAGTATGGAGATATTTTGTGGTTTCAATTATGTGTTTTTGGACGTTTGAATTTGGGGCGCCGTCAGCCTCCATTAGGTGGAGTTGTGTTGCTACCTCCTCTCCCCTTGGATCTCCGCAAGTGATGTGAGGACTCTTAACTTCACCTGAGCCTCCCTCGGCATATGGGTGAGTAGATAATGGCTGAATTTTCATTTTTGGGCGCACTATCCCTTTAAGTCACATGACCCGTGTGCATCATGCCACCCACTGGCCAGGTGTTTTCAGTGCAACACAAATCTTTCAACACCAAGATGGCCGATGGAAAGCAAGAGATGTTTTGCAGCTCAAGAATATCTTGCCAATCCTTCTGTAATAAGAGACCCTGGCAGGTAAATAACATCTGGTAACATCAAGTGGAGTGAAGAGGAAGGAGTATGGCAAGCCGTTTTAACATTTAATCGCTAGACTGGATATTCATTAGTGATATCTGCAACATAATTTTGCCTAGTCAAAACTCTTATTCGGGATATCTGTAATTAGATTTTGACTAGTCAAAAATCTTATTCAAGATATCTGTAATTAGATTTTGACTAGTCAAAAATCTTATTCAAGATATCTGTAATTAGATTTTGACTAGTCAAAACTCTAATTACAGATATCTGTAATTCAGTTTTGACTAGTAAGATTCAAACTATTTTTGCCATTCATGTGTATGGGGTTTGTCATTATAGATATCTGCAATTGTTATTGTGGATATCTGTAATTCCAGTTTGAGATATCTACAATTTAATTTTGTCTAGTCATAATTCAAGTTCAAGATATCTTTAATTATCATCAATTGAAGATATCTACATGGTCCTTTCTAGATATCTTGAATTGAGTTTCAGATAGTCAAAATGATGTTGTAGATATCTCAAACTGGAATTATAGATAGTCATAATGTAATTGTAGATATTTATAATGACAAACCCCATACACATGAATGGCAAAAATAGTTTAAATCTTACTAGTCAAAACTGAATTACAGATATCTGTAACTGTAGTTTTGACTAGTCAGAATGACGTTATAGATATCTTCGATTAAAATTCATACTAGTCAAAATGACGTTGTTGATATCTATAATGGTAATTCCGGATAGTCAAACTTAGCGATTAAATGTTAAAACGGCTTGCCATAGAAGGAGGTGGGCGCAGGGAGAGGAGGGAGGAGTAGAAAGACAGAGGGGAGAGGCTGAGGAGTCAGGAGCAAAGTTCAACGCTTTTGCACAGGCACTGAACAGTATTAGAACGTGTTAAAATATGTAAACATGCTAGTTTAACAGCATTAAAAATATATTTTTATAGTTTCACATGATCTACATCAATCTTGAAATTGGTTTATATTTTATTAACTGGAAACTTAAAGGCTGTCCAACCGAGTGGACATGTGAAAAACTCCTTGAGAAATGCATGTTTAAAAAATGAACTTTAATTTTTGTCATGTCTAAAGAGGAATAAAACAATTAAGAAAAAAAACTTGTACCATAACAATTACATATTATCATTATTACATATTGTCATTACCTTCTGTCCTGTATCTCTCTCTCTCTCTCTCTCTCTCTCTCTCTGTCTCATTGTGTCATACGGATTACTGCTAATTTATTATGCTGATCTGTTCTGTACGACATCTATTGCACGTCTGTCCGTCCTGGAAGAGGGATCCCTCCTCAGTTGCTCTTCCTGAGGTTTCTACCGTTTTTTTCCCTGTTAAAGGTTTTTTGGGGAGTTTTTCCTGATCAGCTGTGAGGGTCCAAAGTACAGAGGGTTGTCATATGCTGTAAAGCCCTGTGAGGCAAATTGTGATTTGTGATATTGGGCTTTATAAATAAAATTGATTGAAAATTGATTGATTGATATTATATAGCATAAAGGATTAAAATATAAAACTGAACTAAAAGTAAAACTAGCTTTACTCTTTAAAGCCAGACTCCAGTTCTGAGGTTTTTTAGTGATGCATTTGTTTGTGAGGTAATGATCACATGACTGGATACATGAGACTTGGATTAAACCACTCGAGATGTGTGAGAGTTTCTAAACAGATGTTTTGATACACTTGTGCCGTTTTTAAATGTGGACCTCAATCAATAAATCAGTTCGGTGCATTTTCTTCAACGTAACACGTCATGATTAACTGATGTACAAAGGGTCATGCAGTGGGTGAGGAAATACTTTGAATAATAAAACCATAAACCGTGAACATGAAGAGTTGAATATGTTTTTATTTCCTGATAGTGAAACAGCTACAGCAGAAGGTAAAGATCAGTTACAGCTCAGATTACAGCAAGAGGTCGACTGATTCACTACATCGTCTAGTGTTCAGTCTTCAGATTTAACTACAGTGTTGAAAATAAAAATATTCCCTGTTAGTGGGAGAGGGTGAAAGAGTCTGAAGAATCAGTTTGGACTCTGAAAACTAAAGGTGGACATTTAAGTTTGACATGTTAGAGACAACTAGACAGTTAATATTAATCGACACTAAATAGACTAATGCTGCGTTCTACCTGCTCTACGTGCTGTTTGCAAAATACCGGACACAACACTAGAGATGTTCTCATGATTTAATTCTACATGTTCAGTTAAAATCTAGGATTTATTATTTTACTTGGCGCTGCTTTCGCATATCAGCAAAAATGTAATGACAAATTTCAATGTTTTTGCCACAATCAGTGGATTCTCTAAACTTTAAAATGCAAACTTGCATCACACATTCAAACCGTCTCAACAGTGTCGAACTCTGAGGGAACAGAAAGCTGGAAAATTGGGGTTGTTTTCTGTGTCAGCACTCCGTGTTATATTAGCCTGCGTCTCACAAAGAGATCTAGCTTTGTCTTCTGTTCCCTTCACTAGACTGTGCGTATTGTCCCTTTAGCATAGCTAGCTTACAAAACCTTCCTCCAAAATACGACCGCAGACAACAGACAACTTATGTGGTCGTTGGCGCTGGAGAACTTGCTGAGGTTGCTAGCTGCTAACTGGTAGAAAGCATGTTGGCAGAACATGAACAAGACAACCTCATGTTTTGACCATCAGTTTTTATGTGTTAAGTTCTTTTCACTGAGTGGGAGATAGAAATCCTGAAATCTCTGACTCAGAAATAACTAAACTTGGCTGACATGAATGTTATTTTTCAGTTAGGTGCTTGTAACTAAAGGTCACAACATTTAAATGCACTCAAATCAGTTAATTCCAGTGGAACCTTTTTCGTAATTACGCTTTGCCACTTCCTGGTGTGACCGGGCCTTCTCAGTTGGGAGCGCATCATTAGCTTGTAGCAAGCCATGCTAGACAGCATGTTAGCGGTTAGCTAATCAGCTACAGTCACTTGCGGTGTATTTACCATCAAACCTCGCACGGACTATTTTAAAAACATGCAAATGAATTGGTCAGTTTCTGGTTTGATGGGCACTAAATCTATAGTACTAAAGCACAAACACATTTAATTCACAATTACCGCTGGCTTAATGTAAATAAATATTTCCATTGTCTCCTGATTCAAAGTCCACTTCAGTCATCAGTCGACCTCTGAGTGCACATGATTTACACATTTGGTTTGTTGTTTCGAGGTTTTACAGCAAACATTCAGACTCTGATTGTTCATCAACAATTTGAGACAAATCAACATGAGACAGACGACTGAGCTAAAAGGTCTTCACAGGCCCACTTGGTCCCTACAAACATAAGGAGTTTTTGGACCAAAGGAACTTTGTCATAGTTTTAAGAATGCCGCTTTTTATTGTGTCTGCACTGCAAGAACTAAGAGCAACTGTGGTTCTTAGAACGTGGTTTTGAGGGACTTATTTCCTCCAGACACAAGAGGAACCTTGAGCCACGAAAGTTAAAAGGTGATTGAGCCAGAGGTCTACACTGATTCGCTGAACATGAGCCAATGCAGCATTCCGTCCGCCATTTTTTAAAGACCGGTTTGTCATATAAAGTCACAAAACAAAAGCTTGCAACAAAAACTTGAATTACTGCCTCACGATTGAATGCCTCAGCGAAACAGACAAGTTGCACTTACAATTTACGTCTGTGAAGTTGATATCGCCTTGTCATTTGTTAGACATTTGTGTGAAATTTGTCATGGCCAAAAACATGTTTTTTAAGGTCACAGTGACCTTCGACCACCGAATTCAAATCAGACAGTTCTTGAGTCCAAGTGGACATTGTGCCAAATTTGAGGAAACTCCCTCAAGGCCTAATTGAAATAGTGCAATCAAAGGAATAAGACGGATGCAAGGTCACAGTGACCATGACCTTTGACCTTCAACCATCAAATTCTAATCAGTTCATCGTTGAGTCCAAGTGGACGTTTGTGCCAGTTCTCTCAAGATGTTCATTAGTTATCGCTTGTGTTCACGAGAATTAGACGGATACAAGGTCACAGTGACCTATGAGAACCAAAATCTAGTCAGTTCAATCTTAAGTCCAAGTGGATGTTTCTGCCCAATTTGAAGAAATTCCCTCAAGGCATCCTTGTGACTCACGGGAATGGGACGGATGAACAACCTGAAATCTTAATGCCTCCGGCTGTGGTGGAATAAAATGAGGACAAAAGGGCCGACGGTGAAGTCCAGGCTTTACTGAGCACAGATGCAACGGGTGACATACGATGAGACTTTATCATCAAAGTGTAAGTTGCTATACCAACCGCCGGCCTGTATACATAAATTAGGGGTTCCTTTTGGCGGTGTGAATGCAAATCTAAAAAAGCCCTCCAAGGAATGTAGTTCTCACGGAAGCTCCCCAGAGGGCAGTTCCTCTCAGGGAGTCCTCAGAGCTGTTTGGTCCAAAAACGCCTACAGTCAGTCTAACCAGGTCTCTAAAGGTGTTGTAGTGCTGTTATAGTGTATATTAGTGATGCATGAAGCAGCTAGTGTTGGTGTTCTCTCTCAGGTCAGGTCGGGTCCACCACATTCAGGTCTAACTCCAATTCACATAAGACCAGTTCTGACTGTCCCTTTTGGATCCAGTCTGTGTGCTGGTACTTCTGATTGGATCCAAGACTTTGGACCGGTGAAGACCTCTAAGTTAAGCTACAACTGTCGGAGACAGACAGACAGCTACATCATCAAACCCCAGCTGGTATTTGGTCAGATTAGAATCAAAAGAAAGCTGACTGGTTGGCGTCTTGGAGCACCGTGAGCTGCTACTGGTTCCCTCCTCCATCAGTTTGAGTCCAGCTCGACGTCAGCAGAGGGGAAACAGAATTGTTTGTCAACAAACAATACGCAAACAAACAAACAAACATCTAAAGTCTGACAGTCCAGTGTTGATACTCGACTTCATGCCCGGTTCATCTCTGGGTCAAAGTTAAAATGATTTCTACTTATATGGAGCTCTGTCGCTGTTTTGGAAAATAATCACATTATTTCAAATCTATTAAATTTGTGTTTCCTAAAAGCAAATAACACGCTGATGATTTAGAGCTTCTAGTGGAACTAAAAACGTCTAATTTGTCCTGACGTTGGAACTAGATGAACGGGTTTGAAAAGGGTTCATCCTCTTGAAAGAAGGAATGAGATCAGGACATTTTATGATCTGAAAGTATCTGTGGACCAAACTGACATCACCATTCTGAGGCTAAATGGAGAACATGCTCCTTATTTATTAGGGATGCACGATATTGGATTTTTTGCCGATATGCGTTACGCCAATACATAACAACTTATTTGGCCGATAACTGATCCATTTTTCCCCCCAACTAATTTTCTTCTATCATGACAGCACACCAGCAGATGGAGACATGAAATACAATACTTTTCACAGTATGTAATATCCATTCATTGTGCAAAACAAAAAAAGTACGTTGGCCAATTCTCATTTTAAAGCCCACACTGATTACGTATCGATATTAATCGTGCATTGCTATTTACTGTAAGTAACAGAAGGGAAGAATATGGAAAAATGAAATTACAGATGATGTTGCTACATGTGGATTGTAAAAACTGATCCTGTGGACACAGTGAGCAGTGGCTACAGGTACGGCTAACATCAGAGGCTACGACATGCTTAGAGCTGTGAATGCTTAAAATTCAAAACCTACAAAGATCCAGAAATGGTTGAATATCAACACTGGACTTTACAGTGCAGCTTCCTTCAACAAAACAACAATGGACAAAACTTCAAATCAATAATATCAACCTTCCACTAACACAATATAAATTCCTAATTGGATTTTGTGTGAAATGTGAGGTGTATTCATTTATACACAATCAGTTTAGCTTTTTGGATTCAAAAGACAATATTTGTAGTTTTGTGGGTAAAATTTAAAAACTATGTGGCCATAAGTCCAAACCTTTTGTTGCAGCGAATCCAACATTTTTGGCTTCAGACTCCCTAAAACAAGGCTATGTCTTTTTACAACCTCTTGTCACAGGTTGCATATGTCAATTGGTTGCGAAATGTTAAGATCAGATTTAGATTTTACTATAATTTCTCAGACATATCCAACAATATACAGTCTGTGAGCCCGTACTTATAAACATAACCCTTTTCCACCAACATCAAACAGGTTCCGTTGCGACAGTCGCACCTAATTTTGAACCATTTGGATCATTTTGACCAAAAATAATTTGGTGTGGAACCTGAAAAGTTGTTTCCAAGCTGGATCTAAAAAAAAAAAAAAGAAAAAAAGAAAAAGCAGGTTTTCCTTGACCTAAAGAGCAAACCGTGACTACTTCTGTGGAAGCTCGCAGGTAATCAATGCCATCTTGCTACTGTAAGTTATTTTGCTGAATGCACTTTAGCGAGATGCTCTGAGAAATTTTTGCGTTGGGGTTTTTACCGTCAAAGACAATGGCCAAAAAGATACTGGCGAGTCATAGCTCTGAAGATTGAGTCTTCAGGTGAGAAATGAAGTTTAATTAGGTTCTGTCCAAACATGATTTTAAGCCAGTGCATAGGTGAAGGAAGTACAGATCTTTCAGTAAACGTAGTAATAAGTTTTCATGGTCGTCTGTTGATGAGCTGCGGAGCGACGTGTCCAGTTTGTGCGTCACATGACACGCATCAAGTGTGTTTTCAGCTTTACTATAGGCGCAACCTTAAGTACCTCTGGTACACCACTGCTGTTTACCTCCAATGTGCAGTGCCCTTCAGTGATAACCCATCCTTGATTTCAATAGTTACACTCAAATCCTGTGAAAAGTGGATTGTTTTGCTAGATAGCACCAAGGTTCCAAGAATATTTAACGGAACAGGTTCAACAACCAGAGCTGATTTGGCGGAAAAGGGACAACAGTGGAGCTCTGAGCTTAGTGCCAACAATGACAATGCCAACACACAAATGTTTAGCTTCAAGATACAGTATGCTCCATGGTATTTTGATATTTTGCTGTGTGTGAATCTTGTTTGATTTGTGGAAGGTTCAGATGATTAACTTGAAGTTTTACAAAACACAATAAACCTGACAGACAATTTCAGAACACCACGTCACACTGTGAGTAAACTGAAGTTACAGCTACGACTTTAGCTCATTCTGAAGTGAGAACATCTGCACAGTTTCAGTGAAACATTGGTGTTAAAGCTGTACTTTTTCAGATGATTTACTTTGAGTTCTGTTTGCTCAGTTCATTTGCATATCGAGCAGAAATGGAAGATTAAAAACATTCACGCGTGTGCTCTTCAGCACGACCAGCTTGACTGACACAAAATCATCTCAACTAAAACTAAAATTTGAGATTTTTCATAGTTTATTTCTTTCTAGATTGCTGGGAATTAAAACGTGTAAAAATATAGTTTCAGTTACGATCGAGCTCAGGTTTTCCTGAGAAACGATGGAAACATGAAGATTCAGAGACAAATCTAATGGAGCTGTTTGAGAAGCAGAAAGTAAATGAACTCTTGACAAATGATGACTGAGAGGAAAGTTCAACCATGGAAACTACATCTCCAGTCAGCCTTATTTTTCCTCACAAGTACTGACCATGTGAAGGGGATTTACTTTCTACTTCTCATGAATGAGAATCAACCTCTGACCCCTAATGAACACAATGACCCTTGGAATGACTGGCAGGTGTCTGGCATCTTTAAAACATGCAACAGATAATTCCAAATTCAAAATAAGTTTTTAAAATAATCAAAACTATTCAAAAAGTGCAAAGAAGCTAACATTTCTGTAACAACATAGAATCTACTTACATGCTAAATAAATAAAATCAGCCTGCAGGGCAGCACTGAGTCAAAACATTCACAAGACAGACAAGTCTGAGATAATAGTAACAAAGTCTTGAGTTCGGACTCAAGACCAGATTTGAGTACTACAACACTACCAAATAATATGGAGAAATACAACAAACAAAACAAATAAAAATCAATCCAGTCAGAGTCAAGTCCAAATAGGGGTCGGGCTCACGTCAAGATCGCAATAACAGATGAGAATAACTGGTGGCCAGAATGAGACAAGTCAGAGTCAAAACACAGACTACTGAGAAAACAGCGAAATGAAACAATCACCAAGACCATGATGAGTCCGAGATAAAGGAAAAACTCATCTCGACTGAGACGAGATGTTTGAAAATAAAATCACAAATACAGAAGGAAATATAGACATTTAAATCTAATCTAGAGCGGTTTTGTGATCAAGTCAAAGCCGAGTCCAAACGGGGTCGAGTCCGTGTCAAAACCCCCGACAGCTGACTGACGGCAGTCTCGCCTACACTGAGAAAACATCTGGGGTCTCATTTATAAAACAGTACGTAGAATTCAGATTGAAATTGTTCAAGTGCGTGGGTGAGTCCGACAGTGTGCAATGTAAATCCCAAATCACCGTGGAATCGTCCGCACGTGGTTCAGCTTCATATCCCGCCCTCTACACGCCCACATTCAACCTTAAACAATCAATGCAAAGCACCTCATGAATGCTGTTGCATAGAAATGAGTGTGCCAATCAGAAGTTACCTATGGTGAGTCACAGCTAAAACGGTGTTACGGCAGTATTTCTGCGATTACAGCAATCAGACTGATTGTTTCAAACCTTGCCAAAATGATCGCGACAGTCAGTGGTATCCCTTACCCTGGGATATCATTTAAAGATGGAAGCTTACTAGGGTTGTACCGGACTCAGGATTATGTCAGTCGTACTGGATCTGGCTGTTCAATACAAATATTTGACTATTTGTTTCTTTTTTTCCCACATAGAGTTTGACGGTTTGAATGGGGTTCAGCAGAACGTTCAAGGTGAGAGCTGTGCTAACGTGCAACAACAGTTTTTGCTGGCACTTGATATCAAAGAAAACTGGAGACTACATCACATTACACTGCTGTGAGCTGTAAATTCACCATTTCTAGCAGAAGGCTGAAGATAACGTTACCTTGGAGCCTGAGCGGGCAAAGCCTCTCTTCCTCCAGGCAGCTGCCTCTGTGTCTGCAGCTGCCCGTACCAAAAAGCGGTGTGAAAATGGGGAGCGCTCACTCTGCAGCTGATTCTGGGGATCAAAACTTCCCGAAGATAAAAAAAAACAACTGCTCAACGTGAAAGAATCTCAGCCGACGAAGGGGTCTCCGACTGATGTTTTGGACCTCTGACCTGTCATGGTAAACTTTGCCTTAGGATCTAAAATAAGGATATGGAGTGTAATGATTGTGCGAGAGTTGTCTCTGTCATTATTTCCAGACTTTGCTAATTTACACAATCCATATGTTCAGGTGGTAAATATGTACATGAGGTGCCTGGAGTGTCAGCGTCATACAGTCGGCCCTCTCCTCTGCATTCTGGGCAAATGTGATGGTGAGACAGTGCTGATAAAACATTGAGTGAAATTTTATTTGAGATTTGGTTCGGCTATTTTCTTACAACTGAAAGGTGCTTATAAAAAAGTTATGGATCACTTTTCTATCGAGTTTAATCACAACTTTTCAAAGTGGTGCAGCCTCTTCAGGCCACGTCTTGCATGTTTGCAACGGTTATAAACGAGACCCCTGGACTTGGTCGAGACAAAAGTCTGTAACACGTAAGGTGGCTGACATGACGGCAACTCCAAGTCAAAACATCTATAACAAGCTCGAGTCAAAATGAGAGAGAGATGAGTCCAAGTCAAAACATCTGTGGCCCAAAACAAGTCTGAGATAACAGAAAAAGACTTCAGCTGACTCTATAGGCAGTGACACGCAGGGCGACACTTTGGGCAACACAGAAACAAGTCTGTGTTGTTCGTCTACACGTTATGTAACTGTTACAGGCAGCATTTGTAACCTCAACGGTAACGAGATCATCCAGTCACGATCTGAGGATTGTTGGGAAAAAATATTATCAAAGAGGGCGGGACTGGAGTTCAATATTAAAAACAAACCAGGTGCCAGACACCCATCAATCATTCAACACCAACAGTGTCACCCAGAACAAAATGTGAGGGTGAAGCTTTACTCTCCAGGTCAATCATTTCCTGATTATTTCTTTAAAACAGGTGCTAGTTTCCAAGGAATATATTTAAAGCTGTTCAGGACATTTTAAGAAGACTACACCTCACGTCCTGTCTGTGAGGAAATCATTTCGGACTGTCAGACCAAGAAAGTAAAGCTTTGTCTCCTTCCCTACTGCTTATCTTTGTAACAGTAACAGCACAACTCTGTAAATCTGTGAAGTCTCCTGGTGAAGGATGTGCTGAGTGTCACATGACTACAACAGTGACGTAGGCCATGGCTGGAAACAGAAAGATGACTCCAGTGTCTGACGGGGAATAATGGGGGTGTGGACCTATATTGCACAGGGGTTGTTGAGCTCCTCAAACACTGTGGGTTCTTCGATGCCTCGTGCAAACAGCTTGATCAACTGACAGTGCGCTCTGAGGAAAAACAAAAGGTGTTTGTTGTAAGAGAAATGAAGTCAAGGCTGAAATAATACTTCACCTGCAAAATGTATCTGTATATCAGTTACTCACCATGTTACCTTTAATTCATGGAGAAAACTTTATTTTCTTGAATGCCTCCACGGTGGACAGAGAACCCAAAAAAGGCGACATTCTTCAATAACTAAAGTTAATATGGACTGCATTTAACAACAGCAAACCTACAGGTGCAATTCCAAAAAAACTGAATGCAATGATATCTATATTCAACTGAATACAGTACAAAGACAAGATATATAATGTTCAAGCTGAAAAAGGTATTTTTTTTTGTAAATCTACACTCATTCTGAATTTGATGCCGCAACACGTAATAATAAAAATGGGACATCACCTTTTCCTTTCTCTCAGTCAGTGTTTGGGAACTGAGGACACTGCAGAAGTTTTTCTTGTCTGATATCCGACTTCAGTGTCTCAACAGTCGACGCTTCATAATGTTCCACACATGTTCAGTGGGAGACAGGTGTGGACTGCAGGCAGGTCAGTCTGGTACCTGCACTCTGTCACTACGAAGCCACACTGTTGGAACACGTCACAGTGTGTCTCATTGTCTCGCTGGAATAAGACGGGACGTCCCTGAAAAAGATGTCGTCTGGATGGCAGCATATGTTGCTCCAAAACCTGTGTGTACCTTTCAGCATTCATGGAGCCTTCACAGAAGTGAAGTTACCCATGATGCACCTGTCCGTCCCATCACAGATGCTAGCTTTGAACTTTGAGCTGGTAACAATCTGGACGGTCCCGGAGGACAGGATGTCCATGATGGACTGGTCAGACCACTTTGTGTCAGTCAATCTCAGATGAGCTGAGGTGCAGAGAAGTCTTTCTGGATGTTGTTGACATCGAGCTTTCACTTTGAATGGTAGAGTCTGAACTGTCATTTGTAGATGCTGCGATGAACTGTGTTTCCTGATAATGGTTTTCCAGCGCTGAGGGATCAGAGCTCATGAGCATTCAGTGCTGGTTTTCAGCCTCGCTGCTAGTGTGCAGAGCTTTCACCAGATTCTCTGAAACTTTTGATGATATTTTGGGTTTGTAGATGGTCCATCCATCCATCCATCCATCCATCCATCCACATCCGTTTATCCGGGGCCAGGTTGCAGGGGCAGCAGGCAAAGCAAAACACCCCAGATGTCCCTCTCCTCAAAAACGCTTTCCAGCTCCTCCTGTGGGACCCCCAAGGTGTTTTCAGGCCCTGATAATGGTTTTTCCAAAGTGTTCCCAAGCACAGGGATCGAAGGTCACGTGCATTCAATATTGGTTTTCAGCCTTGCGCCTTAGGTGCAGAGATTTCTCTGGATAGTCTGGATCTTTTGATGATATGGATTGTAGAGGGTGAAATCCCTGAATTCTGTGCATATGTGTGTTAAGACCCGTTGTTCTTAAGCTGTTGGACTGTTTGACTACGCAGTTTTTCACAAAGTGACCGTCCTTGCTTGTGAACAACTGAGCCTTTTGGAGGATGCCCCTTTCATTCTTAATAATGATGGGGGACATTCAACAACTTTTCCTGTCTTTTGTTGCCCCTTTCCAAACGTGTCACAGGCATCAAATTCAATACAAGTGTATATTTTACTAAAACAATAAAGTGAATCAGTTTGACCAGTAAATATCTTGTCTCTGTACTGTTTTCAACTGAACGTGTGTTTAAAGGAATTGCAAATCACTGTGTTCTGTTTTCATTGAAGTTTTACACAGTGTCCCAACTTTTTTGGAACTGGGGTTATATATCAAAGTAATCTGATAAAGTAAAAACTGTCACACAACTCCTGCAGTATGATCCAAGTCTTAATTATCCAGTCGTGCACTCAGTGCTACTCAAACACATGCATTCACAATATAACATTACCATTTAAATGCAAACGCCTGTCCTGGTACGCTACTCAACTGAGAATGAGACTGTCTGTACTGATGTAACTTAAGTAGTAAAGTTTTAGCGAAAATACATTAGTTTGGGAAGTACTGAGCATACAACTAGACAAATGAGACTCGGATTATACTGCACCAGTTATCTAAGAGTTAGTAAATGAATGCCTTGATATAGTTTTACTGTTGTTAAACGGGGTCTACGTTTTTACTTCAGTTCATTAAGAATGTTCCCCTTGCTTGGATTCTTTGTTCACTGTGGAGGCCTCAAGAAAAACAAAGTTTTCTTCACGTATTTAAAGTAACTAATATACAAATGGTCACTTTATGGATGACAATGGCAAAGTATGAGACTCCCAAAGGGTCGTGTTACCTGACGTCGATGGCCGTGTGGGTCAGAATCTCGCCGTCGCAGTTCCAGCTGCTGTAGGCGGGGGCGCAGCCGCAAGCCGGGTGGTCTCGGCAGATCTGGCTGAAGAGCTGGTGTTTGCCGTTCTCCTGCAGGTCCAGGTCTGAGTCGCTCTGGCAGTGACGCGGTGTGAAGCGGAAACGCCGAACCCGGTGGACCTCAACAAAGGTCAGGTCAAACTGTACAAAGACAGAACAAGAAAAGAAGGATACAGTAAGGGAGGTCTGGAGGAAAGCAGGTGAAACTGTACCAGGTGTTTTGGATCTTTGGATGCAGTCTTTTTTATCATCATTATTTGTAGAGACCATAAACCAGAGTACTGATTTATTACCTGGTCGTCTTTGCTGGTGTGACGTAGAAGGTGTCTGAGGAAGTTGAAGCGGGAACATTTTCGGACAAGGATGAGGTCGGTGGTGCCATCGGCCAGGTGAGCTGCAGGTGAGAGGCCTTTGGGGCTGCGAGGACAAGCACAGCTCATACTGGCAGCATTTATTGCCAGGAACTTCCCTCGGATTGTCCTCCACTCGCTGTCGTTTTCTAAAACAAATCCCATCCCAAAAGACAGATTTCAACTTTCATGCTGTTGCCAAACCTCCATCACTCAAGTGCGCACATTTTAAATAGCTCGGCTTTAGAGGAATACACTGATACATATACATCAGTGACTGCAGAGTTTTAGGAAATCAACCACAGGTAATCATGAATTCACTGGGTAGCATTTAATACCAACCAGATACTAGAATGAAGAGGAAAAACGAGAGAAGAAATCCATCTTAATATCAGACAAATTACTGAAAAGCTTTAAAGAGTTGTGGCTCAAAATGTATTCTAAGAAATGTAATTGACAGCTCCAGAATAGCTACTGTTCTTTCAATTGCAGGTTCGAAGGTCAGCAATGAACTTAAATTCTCAATTTTTAAGTCAACATGACAACTGACTATCTACAATTCAATGACAACTGGTCAAACTCTGTCTGCTGATAAAGATCATGGGATATGATTGACAGCTCCAGAGCAGCTACTAAATGGATATACGTTGAGGGAAGATTGTTTTGTCAATGTTCAGATGGTATTATACAGATCTTTTCATGTTAACGCCAATGATTTTAGTTTCTTGTGAAGAGGACTATCCTGAGGTGTCCCCCAGGGCTCCACTCATGGATCACTTTTGTTTCCAAATACAGTGTAAAGGGTACAACAAGTTAATCCAACAGCTTTGTCTTTGTTTGTTTTTGAAGGTGTATTTCTTTATCACTTCTGATGAAGCCAGACTTGCAGTTTCCATCTGCTTCCACTCTTTGTGACTGATGCCTTTTTGTGTAAAAAAAAATTAAACTGGTTTGACAGGATATTTCAAATACAAGACAGTTCAGTACTTTTCTTATTAACTGTGTATTGTCCAGCAGGGTGGAAATTCGTCTTCAGCTCATAAAACACAACATGAAACAAAGCAGACGAGCAGTTAGTATAAAGAAACATATTGATATATTGATCGTATATTGATATTGATCATTTTACAGATTAAATCAGTTCACGTCAGTGTCTGTCTGTGGTTTAATCTGTCACTTTGTCAAGATAAGAATATTGATGGCATTTGGGATAAAGGAGGCTGAAGAAAAGATGGGAGCTATCTACCAACATACTCTCTGCTTTCTTCCTCGTCCTCTCTGTAGAGAGTTGGTGACTGAACCAGGCAGGAAGGTGAAAAGTTAAAACACTTTAAGTACAGTTTTGCACACTGGTTCGAAAATCTGCTGACTAACACCGAGGCCACTAAGTTTCCTAAGAAGACGATTTTGTTGGACTCACCGCTGTCTGATGCTTCATCCATCTCATACTTCTCAGCCTTCTCTGAAAGTAGCTGCCCGTTGTGCTGACAAACCACACAGCTGGAAATTAACAGACACACCAATATCATTTTAAATGTAACAGATCACCAGATCACAGTTCAACCAACAATTACACCTAAACTCATTGGTAAAATCATCTGAACCAAACCATTAACTCACCTTCACTCCATTCAAACAGTTTAAACTGATAAACTGAACCATTGGCTAACTGGAACCAGAGTATTTTAGTCTTTAGAATTGAAAAAACAAATTAAACACAATTTCGCATCTTTCACATCAATACAGCATCTCTCTTACCCAGATCGACACCTGGCGGTGTCCCGCGGAGTTCCCATGATGCCTCTGGCTGGGAGGTAGGACACTGTTCCTTCATAGTAATGATGAGTCAGAAACATCTTCACACCTGGAGGAGACAGAGCGTCATCAAGGTAAATACATGGGACAACCAAGGGTTACTCTGGTCGTCCATTTTTCATGCAGTACGAGTATCGCAACTACCTCTCGGCCACTTTGTATTTATGTCATTTCGAGTCCTTGCAGCCTCTCGCACTCAAGCAATTACGAGGTGACATCAATTAAGTCTGTGAGGGTTCAAGGCTCAGGCTTTAAGGCAGAGATTGGAATAGGGCCAACAATTTGCAGAGCCTTTGCGTTTTATGCAAAACGTGATGATGTAATTTTTGGCGTTTTTGACAGCGGCTGCAGCTGATGTGGAACCTTCTTTTGAAGTACTATTTTCAAACTGTGTTGGCAAAGATGTCAAGACTCGGACATATTGATGCGACGCATTACATTTTCATTTGTCCATCTAAAGTGCAAGGACACGTTTCATTGCTCTGATTGGTCATAGGTCTATCCAACTGCGTCCTGAGGCATTCCGGTCTAGAGCAGATGATAACGCCCCTTGGAAATCGAAAATGAACTGAAAGGTTCCAGACAAACTCGTCTGATGATGTCAGGCTAGTATGAGGTAGCATAAAATGGAAATACTCCATAAAAGTCAAACATCTGAACAGATGTTGTTTTCACACCTGAGAGGTCGTATCTGGCCGGTCCCATCCATCTCTTCCTCTCGCTGTCAGTTAGCACATCGCCATAGAAACCGTATCCCAGGAGGGAGACGGAGTATCGCAGAAAGGTGTTGTTGTGGTGAACTGAGCACACGTCCATCGGCTGAGAGTCTCCTAAACACACACAGACACATAGATAAACACACGCACGCACAGTCAACATACTGACCTGGAATCATTTTACCTTAGACTCAAAGCAGAGGTTTTAAAACACAATTAAAAAATAGACCTGCACCCAGCAAATCAAGTGTGTGTGTTGGAGTTGGCCTATTGTATTTTTGTATTATTCTAACTGTCTGATTTTATTTGCCTCATTACAATCCTGACACGTTTTCATCCTGGTTCTGCCACGTAAAGCACTTTGTTAATTTGTTCGGAAATATGCTATAAAAAATAAAGTCTATAATAATTATTGTTGTTGTTATCATTTCTACTTCTATTTGTATATTTGGTCCTCCAACAGGTGCAGGCTCAGAGCCCATTTTTATGAACGAACACTAGATGGCAGCATGAGACTGTGGAAAGCCAAGTGATATGCATCAAGGCATTTTCATTACATCTGATGAGACTATGTTAGAACTGGATATGAATAAACTTATGTATAATGTGAAATATAATTATTAGAATGATGAGTTACAGCGCCTCCTATTGTTACATTAGTACCTAATGTTGGCACTGGAGATCACATCTGAGATTGGTGTACCAAATTTAGAGAATGTACTGGTGAGAGAATGAGATCTTTTTTCCAAAATAGCAAAAATGACGCTGAATATTCAAATTCATAAAATCCTATTTGACTATGGATTCATCACCCTCCTTAAATCAAACCATCTCTGTGGGGTCAAATAACCAAAGACTTTTCACATTCTTCGTTAACAAATATTCTATTTATAATAAAAACGAGTCTCCCTGATTGAAATAATGGACCCGCCCTTTAAATGTGTAGTGAGACCATGTGACCCACCCACTATGATGTGCAGTGCAGAGGTCACGGGGTCGTTGGTGCCCACAGTGGCGAAGCAGATACAGTCTGTTGAGCCTGAAACACACAAACAGGTTGTATGATTAATGTTCTGGTGAGGTGAGGAGCAGGACTGAAGGTTCTGACAGCATCAGATGTTCTGATTAATTTTTATAAATGTTGCCTGTTTACATACGAAAATGATAAAACTGCACATTTTACAACAACAACAACAACAACAACAACAACGACACTGCTGCACGGAACATCAGCAGCCATTAATTAACCAGGTGAGCTGCTGCGTCTTTACTGCTGCAGAGAGAATTAATGTCTCCCTGGTGTGTGTGTGTGTGTGTGTGTGTGTGTGTGTGTGTGTATTTATAGAGCACTTAAGCAGAACAACAGAAAACACAAAAGGACACAAACAAAAAGAACAAGCAGCTGAGAAACGAGGCCACAGTCAGTACCTGCATTTATACCCCGGTAACAGAGAATCCTGCTCTCTGATTGGTCCTCATCTGTCTATTAAAATCACATCATCGTTCACCTCAAACATCGCTCGTGTCAACATTGTACAACCTTCGCTCTAAATCAGAGCTCAAGCTATTTTTAGCCCTCTGTTTGTCTGAATGTTTTATTAATAGTAACATAACTTTATTTATACATCATGTGGTGACGAGCTGAGAAACCAGTTCTGATGATGAGCTTTCACGCAGTATCTTGTTACTTCCTGTCTGTAGACCATGAAATAACATTTTCACTGATTTGTTTCAGTGATTTACAAACAAACAGACTTTGAATAAAAAAGACACAAAAACGAGTTGGAATAAAATCTCTTTACATGTGTTACGGTTTTATTTCTGATTTTTTTCTGCTGCATTTGTGTATCAATAGTAAAAATAAATTATTTACAACCTTGAACTGTTATAAAACAATATTTGACTGATTATTATTATAGATTTGTACATTTACAGGTGTCTGTCAGAGGGCTCAACCTTGAACCTAACGTAAAAGGTTATACCTAAAAATGTATGGGAAAGGTTCTACCCAGCACGCGCCTAAGTTTGAACCATTCAGGGCATTTCGACCAAAACTAATTGTTTCGGTTGATGATGCATGCTTGATTACAATGGTTCTAATCAAAACTGTTGGGACATGTGGGCTGGTTCACTACATAGCACCAAAAGCCCTGAACAGAACCAGTTCAAGAGCCGGAGCTAATCTGGTGGAAAGGGACTGAGGGAGGTTCTACAGAGAACCATTCTATTGTGTAAAGCTTCCACCCACAACTGCTCTGAGGGTACTTTCCAGGACCCTTCCACTTTCTAAGGGTGCTATCAAGAACCCATACAGGGGGATTTCCTCTAGAACTCATCTGGGCGGGGAACTCTAAAGCCTAGTTCAGACCAAACATTCACAACAAGCAGAGTTGAAACAGGCAGCTACTTCCAATATGCAACGCTCTAATAGCCTGCTGGTTGACAGGAAGTGACCACCATGAGACAGCGTATCATCTCTAGTCAACAATTCTCTGTGCTTCTGATCTGTAACGTTGACAGGAAGTGACCACCATGAAACAGCGTGTCATCTCTAGTCAACAATTCTCTGTACTTCTGATCTGTAACGTTGACAGGAAGTGACCACCATGAGACGGCGTGTCATCTCTAGTCAACAATTCTCTGTGCTTCTGATCTGTAACGTTGACAGGAAGTGACCACCATGAAACAGCGTATCATCTCTAGTCAACAACTCTCTGTGCTTCTGATCTGATTTGCAGCTTTTCAGATTTATTTTGTGGCTAAATATAATTTGTAGCTTCTTAAAGAAGATAGAAATGAATGAAGATAGTGATAGTGAGATACTGGCTACAGTGATGAAACAAAACCAGCATCAGATGGATTGTAGAAATAAAATAAAATAAAAAAAGAGCAGTATGTCAGATTGTCACGTCAGTGTTTCTGACCTGCAGGAATGATTCCAATACGAAGCGAGCAGGGAAACAGCGTTTCCTCTGGACAGTTTGGATCTACGCCACCGTCGATCTGCGTCCTCCAGATCAGCCCATGAATGATCTCACTGAACATGCCGTCCCCTCCGACACACACCACCCTGTGACATGTGAAACAGCAGGAGCTTAAAAAGTGAAACAAAACTGAGCGTCTGTTTAAACTGTAGTTCCATTACAGGGTACGACAGCTTTTTGTTCTCTTACAAAAAAAAAAAAAAACACATTTCCTGACAGATGTCTTCTCTGTTGTGCTTTTATTTTGGCGGTTCATCTGTTTTAGCCATCCTGCAGATATTTGTTCTGTGTGATGTAATAATTCATTTGAACTCTGTCAGTGAAGGAACCAAACTCTCACCCGTCAAACTTCTTCAGCTCCGCCTCCGTCCTCAGGTGATCCCTTGCATAATTGGCGTACTCCGTCACTATGACAACAAACAAACAGAAACATTAGATGTAAAATCCCTGATACAGGAAGCCCGAGAACAGGAAGTGAGTGATACGGGACGTACCGATGACTTGCGTGGAGATGCCTGCCTGGGCGAACAGCGGGGCGACCTTCTGCTCTTAGATGCGTTTTCCCTGTTTCTTCCCGCCAAATGGGTTGATGTAGACCAGCAGGTGTTTTGGTCTGCTGGCTATAAATAACAACAAAAAAATAACAACGATGATGATCTCTGGCAACAATCATGTTAGCAAGTGTGTGTTAGCGAGTGCATGTTTGCGAGTGCATGTTTGCGTGAAGTCGTACTGATAGCTGCGAGCTGCTCTCTGATGCTGTTGACCCAGCGTTGACACAGCGCCCCCTCTGGACACGTGAAGGTGACCTCAGCACACCGCCAGCGGTGCTGCTGACACCTCTCCACATACAACACTGAAAGACAACAGACACAAACAGATACAAGTTACATTTTTATTTTATAACCACTTAATGATTCACTCGGGACTAAATTCAGATCATGAACTGTTCTGATTGGCTGCTTCACATTGAAAACATTCAGCCTCTGAGCCAATAAAATGCTTTTATTGTGAAGGAACTATAGAAAAAGTCACCCAGGTTATCAGAATATTTCCAGAATATCCAGGTCACATGTTGCTTCATTCAGGTAGTGATCCACAGTTAACACACGTGTGGTCACATGTTTGTGTTTACAGATCGGTTTACTGTATGTACAGGGGTCCGTTTCACAAAGCAGGTTCAACAAACTCTGAGTCAAATCCTGAACTCTGAGTTGATCTACTCTGAGATAGGAAACTCTGAGTTTCCGGTTCCAGAACAGCTGATTTGAATCAGTTTAATCAACTCGGAGTAGTTTCACCTGGAGTTAAGCGCGTGCACTGCGACTATAAAAAGCCAGCATCAATGGAGCCCCGACTCGACGAGTCACCATGGCAACGGGGACGGGGAGGGCTGCGTTTTTCACCCCACCAGAATTAGAAATCTTAATGCGCTCATGCTGCGAGTTTGCACACGTTTTCAAAAAGAAGTGCAACACCGCTGCAGCTGCAAAAGAGAGGGAGACGGCGTGGGAGAATGCATAAGTTTAAATGTAGTCCTTTGCAATCACAATAATATTACAGGGGAAAACTGCTTGAATGGTAGCCTATTAATTTATTTCATTTAGGTGCAGTTCCGCGGGGGAGAAGCGCACTTGGCAGCAGTTTAGGATGAAATATAAAAACATTGTTCAAACAGGTAAGACCTCGGCATAACCTCATGGGGGTACCTCATTTTGATCATGTTTTACATTGTAAAGTAAATATTAAGTGGCTGTTTGACTGTGCAGTTGTTTTATCCCCAACATAATGCTGTTTTCACACACATAAAGTACAGGCCAAAAGTTTGGACACACCTTCTCATTCAATGCGTTTTCTTTATTTTCATGACTATTTACATTGTAGATTCTCACTGAAGGCATCAAAACTATGAATGAACACATGTGGAGTTATGTACTTAACAAAAAAAGGTGAAATAACTGAAAACATGTTTTATATTCTAGTTTCTTCAAAATAGCCACCCTTTGCTCTGATTACTGCTTTGCACACTCTTGGCATTCTCTCCATGAGCTTCAAGAGGTAGTCACCTGAAATGGTTT